CGATTGTAGTGTGGAAATTTTTAGGTGATTCTGGAGTTTTTTGGCTTACTAAACTTTGTAATACTATCTTAAAAATTAAAAAGATCTCTGAGGAGTGGAGTAAGAGTATTTTGGTCCCATTTTTAAGAATAAATGGGATGCATAAGAGTGTGCAAATTATAAAGGAATTTTATTTAATGTGTCATAATTTAAAATTATGGGAGAGGGTAATTGAACATAGGTTAAGACGTGATAAAAAGATTTCTCATAATCAGTTTGGATTTATGTCGGGCATGTAAACTATGGAAGTTATACATTTATTGAGAGGTTTGATGGAGAAGTGCAGAGAGAAAAAGAAGGATCTACATATTACTTTTATTGATTTAGAAAAAGCTTACAATAAGGTTCCAAGAGAAGTATATTGGAGAGTTCTTGAGAAGAAATGTTTCAAGTCATTTTTTTTTAAAGAAAGCCCAAGGGCAATTATATAAAAAGGAAAGGTACAGAAAACTGGGATGTGTGGGCCCACACTGGAACCCTAAGCACCCGGTACAACACACACCAGACAAGTAAACTTTAATCCAAAAGTCTCCAAACACTCGGAGAGTCAAACAAAAAGAGCGTGAGAAACGACCCAAATTATCCTTACCTCTTACCTCTGGCTCTATGTAAGGAGCCAACTAACAAAGGGTTAAGTCTACTGTCATTACCCGAGATAACCAAGGTATCATTCATTAAGTTCTTGTGTTACAGTAGGCCTCTATTCTTCTTCTTCCTGGATGTGTAAACCTTCCATTCCTCACCCAAAGACTGGCTCATTTGATCAGTGTCATGGTTCAATGATTGTCGGGCATGTATAGGCTGTTACACATCATGCGCCCCTTGTGCCTGAAAGGTGTCAAGTCATTTTATATATATATATATATGATTAACCAAGTATTTTTCTATTTAAGTTGGATTACATCAGGGATCGGCTTTAAGCCCATATATTTTTGCTTTAGTTATGGATGATTTTACTGGACATTTACGAGAGGATGTAACTTGGTGTATGCTTTTCGTTGATGATATCGTTCTTGTGGATAAAACTAGAGAAAGAATTCAGAAAATACTTGAATTATGGAGGTCTACATTGGTGTATAAAGGCCTTCGTTTGAGTAGAACTAACATTGAATACATGGAATGTAATGTTAATAGTAGTAGCTCTAGTGGTAGAGTTGTAGGTGATCAAATCATTAAAAGGTGTGAACGTTTTAGATATCTCAGGTCTATTGTTCAGAGTAATGGTGATATAGATGGGGATGTTATTAGTAGAATTCAAGTTGGTTGGTTGAAGTGGATGAATGCATCTATTGTGTGATAGGATAGAAAAGTGCCTCTTAAGCTTGAAGGAATTTTTTTAAGTTGGTGAAGAGATATAAAATGTTTTTTGGTGCTGAATGTTGGCCTTTAAAAGAGAAGCATAAAACAAAGTTAAGAGGGATGCCCTCCCTCTCGCATGAAAATGAGTTCTAGGTGAGTAGCTTGACACGTAAGAGACAAAATGCAAAATGTATATATCCGTGATAGGGTTGGTGTGGCGGATAAGATTAGAGAGAGCCGTTTTAAATGGTTTGTTCAGATTAAACACCGACCACTGATAATCTGGTTAGGAGAGGATGTTTTAGCTTTGACTGATGTTAAGAATGGAATAGTAGACCTATAAATACTTGGCCATATTGTATCATAAGTGATCTTACTTTATTAGAATTAAATGAAAATATGACACTCAATAGGACTTAATGGAGAAAAAGGATTCATGTAGCCGGCCCCTCTTAGTGGGATAAAGGCTTGTTGTTGTCTTGTTGTTGTTGTAATTTCCTTTGATATCGGGAGATGAGAAAAATAGAGTATATTTTAAAAGGATAAAAAATTTCACCTGAATTGCTCAAAATTGGGTATTACATATTATGTAAAATTTAATGTTGTCATAAAATTTTTTAGGTTTTCTTTCAGGCTATGTAGAAGATTACGCCATATGGATCCCTAGTCTTGCTAGCAACACTAGATTTGAGTTTAGAGCATTGGGAGGTGGTTTAGGATGAGGATAAGGGGTTGGAAACACTTTTGGATGGTGTAATAGTATTTCTACTTTGGATTTATAGTTTTTTCATATTCTCTCAAGTGGTTTAACTTCTCTAATCTATAGAGCAAGACTAAAAATAATTATCCATCTTCCTTAGTAGTTTGATCTGAGTGATCATTTTGAGATAACATAAGCTTACAAATAGTTAATAAATATCAAGCTTGTCACTTTGATCACTCTCAAAAGTTTCATACCATAAGCATGTGACACATGTTTTTTGATTTGATGAGTTTATAGAAAATTGACTCTGTTAAACTATAATTATAATCAAAACCTTTTGATCGGTTTTTTTTTTTTTTTTGTGAAATGACACCAACATTATGATCACGGCCAAATTTTAATAGTTTTCTTGCGGCTCAAATATTGAATACTGAATTATAAGGGGCTCATGATGGGGTATAAAACTATTGTCAGCCAAGGTTAATTTAAATATATCTTCATTGACAGACTATCATACTAAATTTATGGGATCCTTTGGACGATTCAGTCTATTAATGTTAACAAAGATCCTAATGTCAACTTGAGTTAACCATCTCCTTTGGCTAAATAGATCTGGGTTTATGATAACCCAGGATAATAAAATCAAAAAACCTTTCGTTCAAAGCTACCAACTATAAATATTCTTTATCACAAACCCGAATTGCTGTTACTATATATAGCAGCCATCGTTTAGCTCTACTAAAAAATTCTCTTCCTTAACTAGAACGGGTAATTAACTCTTAGGGCTTATGCTAATATGAAACTTCAAACTAGATCTTAAAGTACCTATAAAATCTCAAGTCAAATTCTTGTTTAATATCTAATTTTTCTTTCTGATATTTATCTCAGAACTGCAGTCTCATAGGAAAGCTGGGTGCAAATTTCTGAGCTCATAGGCTGTAATTGAAGAAATGCATTCCTCTAAAAGAAATGGTACATAGGAAGTTTTCTGGCTTGTTTTCACGGCGAAGGTTCATTATAAATGAATCTTTATGCTCAAGTATAAAGTAGGTAAGAGTATAAATTTAAAGCTCAACTTGTTGCAATTGGACATACACAATTTTTGTTATACTCTTTTTGGCTGCAAATTCAGATTAGGTTCGACATCAACTTAACATTAATTTTTTATTTTCTTTTTATGTGGACCTTTAGAAGGAAGTATAAATGAAGATAGCACCTGTATAAAACCAATAAAGTTGTAGAGTGAAAAAAGTTCTATATTACTTCAAACAATCCTCTAATGCGTAGTTTGACATATTATGTTAATAATATGAACAGTCAGTGCTAAACTGGTTACATTTTTCTTATTAAACGCTTACCTAAAGGTCAGAGACAACCTCGATCTTTATGTATATTATATTATATTAATAGATGACTTTGAGAAAAGCTAACATGATTAATAGAGTTGGTAAGTGAATTTGAGATAAATAATTTAAGAAATATAAAATATTTTTATGGTATGAATATGGCATGATTAACATGGTACCACTATGACCTAAAGCGTATTTTTTTTTTCCTTCAAACATTAGAAATTCTTGGATATAAACCCATAGAAACTCCGATGCATCTTTCAAAGAAAATAGGAATCACCATAAATATCATGCCTGCTAATAGCTAGGAATCAACACCTAGTGCGCAAAGCCATTTACCTTCTCTCACCCATCATGATATGGGCCCTTTTAGTTTTTCAGGCCAATACATGGATAACATTGAAGGCTTCATGGAAAAATGCCAACCATTTTAAATTACTTCTAGCTGACATTAGGAAAAGGCTTATTATATAAAATTCATGCAGCATGGAAATAAAAAATTTCACTTATTGAGCTTGGAGACGTCTCTAATCAAAGATTCACCTCTAGCTATTGCACTAATGTATGGGAATGCTTAGTCATATAAAAAAAAAGTTATACAATCTCTGGTGCCAAGTAATAATGTTGAAGCTGCTGCAGGGTTGTGGCAGTTTGTACTTGCAAAGGAATATGGTTAAAATGACATCAGAAGAACCAAACTATCAAATGAAAATCTTCGAAAATTGTTTTGTCAAGACTAAGCTATCATAAAGATTGTAAAAAATATTGGTCATTATAACAATGCTGAACACATTGAGATAGATCGGCATTTCATATCCATAAAAAATAAAATATGTTTTACCTTATCTAAATTATGTTCCAAAAAACTTTCTAAGCAATAAGTTGAGCATGATCAACATATATAATACAAATTTGAAGGGGAGTGTTGACATAATCATTAATCCATGGCTAACACCTTTATAGGATTTAGTGATGTATTTATAGATCAAGTATGTTGATGTTCAAAATGATACTGAAACAGAAAAAAATAGGTCAACACTGTTTCAACTACACTGTTTAGTCTTAGATCTGGATAAAATTTCATCAAATGTGCCAAATTTTTTATTGATATGGCATTTGAAATAATTGCTAATAAGGAATCAAAGTAAAGCATCAAATGTTCTTCGTTGATAAAGTTTCAAATTGAATGAAATATTTATCCTCGATCAATTCTATATTTAGGTAAGAATGAATGAAACTGGGAGTAAATGATTCACTGTGATATATAACTGCACATATGATTGAAAATTTATTCCAGTCATTGGCCCCAACGACTCTCTCTCTCTCTCTCTCTCTCTCTCTCTCTCTCCCTGGCACACACACTCACACTGGAATAAATGGAGTTAGTTTAAAGAGACACCATTCAAGTTGGAAATGGTGAGGTCAGATGTTGGCCTGAACCAGGAAAGAGAGAAAAAGCATACATAACCTGACTTTTTCCCCCTTTTGATTCGAGGAATATTCTTTCACAAAAATAGGAATTACACATTCTTCATTTGGCAAATGTTAAATAGACGCTATTGCAGACATCCTGAGGTTCTCTGCTCTAACTGCTTATAACTTTCATGAAGGTGGTGCCCATTCTCTTTCAGTCTTTGGTAATGATGTTGGGACTGGTTCAGTTTCACCGCTAATAGTTACTGGTGGGAAAAATGGTGATGTTGGACTGCACGACTTTCGGTACATTGCATCTGGAAGGAGCAAGCGGCACCAACAATCTAGAAATCAAGGCTTCAGATCCTCTACATCTCCCAATGCTTCTGAGCATGTTGATAATGCAAATGGAATGATTTGGTACATACCAAAGGCTCATTCAGGTACTTAATTTCATTGTTTTCCATTATTCCTCTTATTATTCTTTAGTTCATATTCAGTGCTTCCTGACCGATGTTATAGACAGCATCACAAAGATCAGAACCATTCCTAACACAAGCATGTTCTTAACCGGGAGCAAAGATGGAGATGTAAAACTTTGGGATGCCAAAACAGCACAATTGGTTTTTCACTGGCAAAGAATTCATGATCGTCACACTTTTATTCAACCGGACTCTAGAAGCATTGGTGGGGTTGTTAGGGTAAGGAGTTTATTGATGCACTTTTACTGGAGCAAATATTACATCCGGATTCCGGACGTAATTTGTGTCCGGATCTAATGGTGGGGCATCACGTGTCAAGTGGGTCTACTGCAATACCCTAGGATTGGTCAGTGTTAAAATTTGTGCGGCCCACTTGACACTTGACGCCCCACCATTGAACTCCAGATGCACTTCGAGTTCTGAACTAATATTTTTTCTTTTTTGCGGCGGTTCTATCAATGCTATTGCACGTACAAAATCTGTTTGCTGACAAACAATACTGTGATAAACGTGCAGGCTGCAGTCACAGATATTCATGTACTTTCTTGTGGTTTTCTTACGTGCGGTGGAGATGGTTCCGTGAAGCTGGTACAACTGAAGTGAGGGACAGAACTTGGAAGAATTCCACCACGTTCACCAAATGCTCAGACCTCATTTGGAATGCAACTTATTTATCTGAGTGATGTGTGTAAATGTTCTTTACTTGATAGTTTTGACAAAGCATGAGTCATTCTACTTGGAATGACTCCCACCAAGTAGTGATCTAGCAATAAAAGCATTCTTATAGTATGCTTAGTGGAAGCAAAAAAAAAAAAAAAAAAAATTTAAAATACGGCAAAATATTTTAATATTTTAAATAATATTCTAAATAAAAATTTTAAAATATGATATTTTCTCTATTATTTTAAATATTTTATTTCCAACTATCTCATCAAAATGTTAAAATTGAATAATATTTCAATTAATTGGTTCTTTAGAAATCAGATTTGTCGGTTCAAATTTGGTTTCGATCGGTTCAATCCCAGTTACATGCAAAAATAGTTAAGTTTGAATTTAACCGGCTGAATGATCGGCTTATGGTTGAATCGACAGTTCGATTTTTTAAAATCTTGCACATGGTTTTTAAATCATGCTTAAAATAATATATATATATGTGTGTGTGTGTGTGTGTGTGTGTGTGTGTGTGTGTGTGTGTGTGTGTGTGTGTGTGTGTGTGTGTGTGTGTGTGTGTGTGTGTGTGTGTGTGTGTGTGTGTGTGTGTGTGTGTGTGTGTGTGATTAAGCTATGACATAAGAAATATCTGCTTAATAAATTACTCATAATATTTTTACTAAGCTATAAAAACTTGTACTGAAAAGATTAGTTGTATATGTGTTTTTTTACATGAACAATAACAAGATCAATTTTCTAAACCATATGCTGTCTATTTTCTATATAAAAGTGGAGCATTATATTTATTTTTTATTATATATCCAATTTTACGAATTGGTAGTCAAGATGGATTACATTTACATAAAGAAATTGGTAAATACTACATAATTAGATAGAGAAAAATATGGCTGACTCTGAAGCAATGTTGTTGAATCTATCTAGAGATCCCTACTTAGAGTGGATGATCCAACATGACACAATGGTGATGGCGGTGGTCTGTGGTAGTGCCCGTGTTAACCATAATGTGGGGACTAATATGAATAAAGAAATTGGTAAGTATGATAATTAAACGAAGAAAATAAGGCAAACTTATGTATAGCCGCCAAAATTGTTGTTTGTATGTGAAGCAATGTTTTGTCGGATCCTTGTAAATATCACGACCTAGCTCGGAGCTTGGAGTTAACTTACTTTTATTCTATTACTAACAATTTAATATTCAAATGATACAAGAAGAGTCATTAAATAAAGCAATTAAAATTAAAAAGGTAGAAATTAGTACATTTTTGTTTGTTATTCTCGTCTTCTATAAACATTTGATCATTTATTGTTCTTCTTATTCATATGTCTAAAACCTAAAAATAGTATTAAAGTAAAATATTAAGTTATCTAAAGATAACTAAGGAGTAATTACACCCCTAAACTGTAGTAACCCAAAGAAAAGAATTCATTATGCATGTTGGTCAGAGATCTTATAATATGCTAGTCTTTTATATTTTTATAAGAAATCATATTTTGTTCATCTTATTCAAATATTTTAAACCTAAAAAATAATATTAAAGTAATATAATTAGTTATCTAAAAATTTTCTAGAGTAATTATACTCATAAATTACAGTAACTCAAGAAAAAAATCAATATGCAAGTTGATCATTTATATCTTTATAAAAAATCTTATAATATACTGGTCTTTTATATTTTTATAAGAAATATGACAATATGTTAATACATATATCAATGATGTTTTTTAAATGAAAATACTAAGACTTAATGCATTTAATTTATCTTTACTTTAATTTATATTTTTTACATACACATTTCTCTGTAAGGATCACTATCAATAAAACCTAATACACACTTGGCCATATTGCCCCGTCGGCCCTCGTCGACACAGCGGTTTGCAATGTAAACACCGCAATTGTCTAGTGTGGAAAGACCCTTATTTGCCTTCTTACTGATAGTATCTCATTGGTACAGTGGTTGGCAATGTAAACATCACAGTTGTCAAGGGAGGTAAGCTCTAGTCTACTTGCCCTTGGTAGATAATATCTCATCTGCACAGTGGTTAGTGATTTAACCACCACAATTGTTTGAGGTGGTAGAAAAATTCTACACATGTAGATACACTGGCATCCCCTACTTGTATCATTAGGGGAACATGCACATACAAATATTCATATATAATCAATTTCATTCTTTATAACATATATTATTCTGAGATATTTTTATGCATCAACTAACTAACATGCATATTTTTTATGTTATGCAACTATTCATCACGCATGTCTTTGATATCTCTCATAACATTCATTTCTTTTTATCTTATGCATATCTCTTATGTATACCATGGATATTATTTTCCATTGTGCTTATTATGTGTATGTTTCCTATCATGTCTTACATATCATGCATCTCATACATATCTTTCATGCATATCTATATTGACTAATAATATGAAATATCTAACTAAACTAAAACATATATAGAGTCAAACATATTTTTTGAAATAAAGAAAATTACTAAAATTTAGAAATAAGATTACTCACTTTAGTCACCACTCTAAAATCTTAATCTTTGGTAGCTAGGTGGAGGTTGCAGTGGATTTTACATTGAGCTTAATAACCTATAAAACATAATAATAAATTGTAAGATTCAAGTGAATTCTGTAAACTGAATTACTCTTCATAAATTAGCACATGATTACATTACCTGAAATTTATGGAGTTGTCCAATGATGATCCTCTACACGCTCGCCTTGAACTCGCTGTGTCAGGTAGAAACCTCAAATCTTAAACGGCATAGGAATTCAGGTTATCTTTTCACTTCTTCCTATCTTCTTAATCTCCTTTCTACTTTGCTCATGTTGTGCTAAAATTCTCACAGAAGCTTGCAAAACACTTTTGGCACTTCAAACACAAATTTGGCACCTCTGACGGCTACCAGAAATGAGGAAGATGCACAATCTACCGCATATGTCAAAATGAAAGAAAAGAAAGGAAATAAATGTCTCAAATAGCATGAAATAGGGTTGTGTACTAATCCCGATATTTTTAATATGTAAGGATTTGCGATGTTGACACCAATACTTGAAGATTTTAATCCCTAGTAATGGCACCAAAAACTTTATCCTGACTAACTGTTTAATTGCAACAGTATAACAACACTTTAATTATACTTTCACTTATATTTCCTTACTTTACAACAAAGTCAAAACTTGATCCTGAAGTACGTAAGAATTTATTTTTTCAATTTATATTTGTTGGGATATTACGCAAGTATAAGTATCGTTATCAAGTAATATAAGACTTTTTTCTTAAGACCTGAATATCAAACCCACAGGGAAATAATGCAATATGCTTAATTGATCAACAACTTTATATTTTTAAAAGACAATTACTTAAACTAGAGATGTATTCGCTATAATTAAAATTTAAATATTTTTGGTATTTTTGATATTTTGACAAACCAGTGACAATTTAAAAGAATAACTTGAGTTTACGTGAAAGAAAAACACTAAATTTGAAAATATCTTTCTCCTTATCATGAATCAGTAATAAGCATAGGAATTCTGTTGTGGTAGTATGCAAATTGTGTTGTGTCAAATAGGAGCAATTATATTCTTTACCCTTACTAGAGATGCTATAGAGAACATTGGCTAATTTAAAGTTTGAATAGTTCTGAAGACCGGCTAGGTAGGGAAAATACTATCACTCACTCTATAGTTCCCTCTATTCCCTCCACCTGGGAGCTAACATCTCGTATCAGAACCTAAAACATTAAACCAAGTTGGGGGCTTTAACCTGACACTTTAAAGTCTTCTAACTCTACACCCTTCAATGATTATTTCCATATTTATTTGCACTAAATCATATGAATTACATTCTCATTCATACAACCTCATGTGATTTTTTCCAATTGTTGACTGAGACAATATCAGCCCGGTTCTTACATGTTCGCACAATAAATTTTAGCATCTGGATTGGCCAAATAAAGAAGTAAATGAAGAACATGGAATTAAATCATCACAACTTCTTCCAACATTAAAGATTAATACTCTCCACAACTTTCATCCAATACTTTAATTACCTATCATTTTAAGGAGAAAGATAAAGAAAACCACTTAAAATCCATGGAGAAACCCAAACTACACTTTAGTTTAAAAGTAGAAATCGTTGTCAAACTAACAAGAAGTCTTGATTAAAATCAAAAGTAGTTCAAAACAAAAGATAAAAACTTATCTCAAATCCTCCATCGAACTCTTGAAGTTCCTTTGAATCTCTTCTCTTTTCCTTTGAATGAAGTTCCTTTGAATCTCTTCTCTTTTACAACACTCTAAACTCTCAAAATAAAACTAAAAATAAAAGGAAAAAGTAAATTTGTGTGGTTCTTAAATCTCTCCACGATCCTCTTCCTCTTCAAGCACTCTCTCCCTCTTCAAGCACTCTCTCCCTCTTCAAGCACCCCCTTCCAAATGTAAAAACTTCCTTTTTTTTTTATAAATCTCCACGAGGTGCCTTGAAAACTCTTCAAAATATGTCTAAAGTCAATGTATTCTCCAAGGGATGCCTCCTTCCATAAGTCTTTTAATAATATTTTTGTTCATTGTGGTCATAACCACCCTCTTAAGCCAATAGGTGTCTCAAATATCTCTTCAAAATTTGGCAAAATGAAAAAAAAAACCAACAAATAACTGCCTCTGGCGGTTAATCACGGGGCCTCTAACGCTTAGGCGCAGCCTTCTCTGTTTAACTGCGTGTAAGCGCCAGATCTGACGCTTAGGCGCCAAAGCTCTTTAGCACAATTTTCATCTTTTTGCTCCAAATTTGATCATTTTTCACTCATTTTAGCATTTTTCAACTTTGTACCTGTACCTGAAAGAAAAAGTACCTGTACCTGAAAGAAAAACAACTTTGTACCTGTACCTGAAAGAAAAACACACAAATACCTTCCATTAAAGCACAATATCTAAAAAATAGGTATAAAAATGTGTCTAAAAACACTATATATTTTAGGTGTACCATGTACTCACTGATTTCATCCCCGAGCCCAGAAACCTAGTTGCTTGCTGCGAGTTGTCGTGCGTCTATGCGGGATCCTAACTCTAGCACTGTAGCTAGAGTTGTTGGCTCCCTCAGTTGATAGAAAAGAAGTG